TCTGTTTAATAAAGTGAAACAGTTGTAACCTACATTAATTATTAATGTTATACAATGGTGACAATAATCAAAATAATTTCCTACATTTCCATGGTAAATATTTACAACAGCTACTACAATGCAATTTTCACTTTGCTGTGCTTGTGTTGGATTTGTAGGTATGAAAGCTGGAATGTATTAATAGTAGTGCATGGGAGATCAGTTTCCTACATAAGTGGACTATTCAAACCAGCTATAACAGAAATACAATGAAGTCTGTGCTATTCTGTACTATTGTGCTAAATCTGCTAATAATCAGTTCAGCCTCAGTACCTCTACAATCCTGTTCTAATGGGGATAGAATATCATCTTGCAAGATAATAAAGAAGTACTGGCCAAACAGTTCTTCAAAGAACTACAATATTGAATATGAAGGAGGAATAAAGAATGTTTACTGTAATATGGAGGAGCTGTGTGGTTCAGGAGGAGGATGGACAAGACTAGCATATCTGGATATGACTGACTCTACACAGGACTGTCCTCCTGGGTTTAGACTGTACCAGTCAGGAGTTAGAGCTTGTGGTAGAGCAACATCAAGTGGAGGCAGTTGTACATCAGTTCAGTTTCCATCTAATGGTATCAGTACTTTACTCTCAAGTGTGTGGTAGAGTTGTGGGATATCAGTGGGGACCACCTGATGCAGCTTATCCAGGCAATTACCAACTTGAGGCATATGGTAATATCGTTGTTCCTTCTCACAATGATATTAATTCTTATTATGTGATGGTGTTAGTATCACTCGTGGGTCTCCTCGTCAACATGTCTGGACACTAATGGCTGGAGTACTTGAATTTAGTAATTCTAGTTACAGTGGTGATGGCAGTTTTAATTGTCCTTGTTCTCAAGGTAGCCTTCAGAACTCAACTCTTCAGTCTTTCATTGGTAATGACTACTTCTGTGAATCTGGTAATCCTGCTACTGATGGTACATGGCAGCACATATTCTATACATCTGATCCATTGTGGGATGGTAAAGGATGTGGTAGTCTTGAAGGTGTTTGTTGTGCGGCTCCTGGTCTTCCATGGTTCAATAAGATACTAAACACTACCACTACTGACTACCTTGAACTGACGGTGTGTGCTGATGAAGGAACTCAAGATGAAGATGTTCCTGTTAGTTTTTATGAACTATATGTTAAATGATTTATACTGATATTTGTTGTTGATTGAACATTAGTATAAGAGTAGTATAACCACACACAATGGTACAGTGACAATAACACAATGTCAATAATAATAATGATTGCCAAGTTCACAAACACAATAATCATGATATCATTACTAGTCTACTACTATGATTGGCAGCGAGTTGGCTAGCACACAATGTTACTCACATGTATTGGATGTACAAATAAAGTAGGTATGGAAGCTGGAATTAGAAGCAGCCAGGATGAGGGTCAAATGTACATTGCAACTGTAACATCTAACTACATTATTAATCACAGTGTGGAACAGTGCTCGAGCTAGGGTATTAAGTAGTGACCTGTTTATCAACATTGATAATAGAGTAAATAAAAGGTATTGGAAACTTCTGCATGGGCATAGCAATAATACCATTTGATTGTATTGTTGCTAAACAAAAAAATTTCTGACTAGGCGGTTTGTTACCTTTGACCACAAAATTCTTAATTTTTTTCATTAAAATTAGAATAACTCCAAGAAGAGTGCAAGAAACTCGACTATCAAGGAGTTCAATGTTTTGCACTGTTAATTATTATTTTATTTGGTATATTTAAATTAATACTTTAAGAGTTATAGTGCTTTTGCTCATAAAATTGCTGTTTTTTCCCTCTAATGAAGACATTTTTAGCTCAACACTAAAAGCTTGTCAGAATATAAAATAACTCTCAATTACTTATGGAATGATATGAGGTAACACTATAATAGCAAAAATATGAAAGCTGTAGAGGCAAAAAGTGTCAGAAAAGATACTAACTTTGTGTACCCATAACTGGTTGCAAAATAGCTCTATAGAAATGGATAGCCCTAAACTTTCTATGTGGAAAGGAAGATATATCACAAGCAAGCGCTTTCTAATAGTCACACAAAATTCCTTCGAGATCCTTTCTGCACAACAACTACTATGGAGGAGATGGTGAATCCAGATAAACACGGACGTTGCCAACCAGGTAACCAGGGGTGACAAAAACTGTGTCGCCAGATGGGAACGGTAGTTTCCAATCTGTTTCAATTACTCTACTATCTACGTTACCAATGAGCAAGTGAAACAGTTGTGACCTACAGTAATTTTGTTAATTAATTCTATTTAATGGTGACAATAATCAAAACACAGAAAAATGAAATTGCACTGTAGTAGCTATTGTAAATAGGTGCCATGGAAATGCAGGAAATTATTATGATAATTTCCTACATTTCCATGGTAAATATTTACAACAGATACTACAATTCAATTTTACTTTGCTGTGTTTGTGTTGGATTTGCAGTTAGAAAGCTAGAATGTATTAATAGTAGCGCATGGGAGCTCAGTTTCCTATATAAGTTTACTATTCAAACCAGCTATAACAGAAATACAATGAAGTCTGTGCTATTCTGTACTATTGTGCTAAATCTGCTAATAATCAGTTCAGCCTCAGTACCTCTACAATCCTGTTCTAATGGGGATAGAATATCATCTTGCAAGGACATAAAAAAGTATTGGCCAAACAGTTCTTCAAAGAACTACAATATTGTATATGAAGGAGAAATAAGGAATGTTTACTGTAATATGGAGGAGCTGTGTGGTTCAGGAGGAGGATGGACAAGACTAGCATATCTGGATATGACTGACTCTACACAGAACTGTCCTCCTGGGTTTAGACTGTACCAGTCAGGAGGAGTTAGAGCTTGTGGTAGAGCAACATCAAGTGGAGGCAGACTATCAGGCAGTTGTACATCAGTTCAGTTTCCATCTAATGGTATCAATTACTCTCAAGTGTGTGGTAGAGTAGTGGGATATCAATATGCTTCAACTGATGCTGTTTATCCAGGAAACTATTCAGGTGAAACGTATGGTAGTGTCATTAGGCCAAATTACAATGACATTAATTCTTATTATGTTGATGGTGTTAGTATCACTCGTGGGTCTCCTCGTCAACATGTCTGGACACTAATGGCTGGACTGCTTGAATCCAGTAACTTTACTTTATTCAATGATGGTCGGTATCTTTGTCCTTGTTCTCAAGGCAGTCCTCAAAACTCAACTCTTCAGTCTTTTATTGGCAATGACTACTTCTGTGAATCTGGTAATTCTGATGCTAACAGAGATTTTCGAAGCATACTCTATGCATCTGATCCATTGTGGGATGGTAAAGGATGTGGTAGTCTTGAAGGTGTTTGTTGTGCAGCTCCTGGTCTTCCATGGTTCAATAAGATACTAAACACTACCACTACTGACTACCTTGAGCTGAGGGTGTGTGCTGATGAAGCATCATATAATGAAGATACTCCTGTTACCTTTTATGAACTATATGTCAAATAATTTACACCGAGATTTGTTGATGATTTAACATTAGTATTAAGATTATTATAACCACACACAATGTTATAGTGACAATAACACAATGCTAATTGGAATGAGCCTGAGCAAGCCCCACTAAAGGCTGGTTTAACGGATTGCTTTTCGTGTACTTGTGTTGTGACTGAAAGTGCTGTAGAAACAAATGGGGATGCATGTCAAAACCTCAGAATAGGCTTTTAGCTATCTTGATGCAGCTATTGACGTACCTTGCCATTTATTTATACAGAACTACCAGTAGCAATGCAAAACCATGTGTCATTATGTAAACCAGGCTTAAGATGAGAAAACATCTGTTTGTCCATACGGCCAGGCAGGTCGTCTATCTATCACTGAAGTTAAATAAACTAATCTTAATTGAAAATGGGTGCAGTCACAATGGATAAAATTTAAATGGGAGCTATTAGCAACTCTGAGCTTATTTGCAGCAAATCAGCTGCAAATGGTCAGCAAAATAAGACTAAACTGCTGTCTAAAACTTATTTAGCAAAAAGAAAGGTTGGGAAAACAGATATACAATCTTTTTGCTTGATATAAAGGACTCTGATAAGTTGAATGCAAGTGAGAAAGCTGCATGTAGCTACTGTAGCTAGCTGCATGGATCATGAGATCTATTATAGCTGATGTTTCTTCTCTAGCAGCAAGCCTAGGTTAACAAAGCAGATGTACAATCTTCTTCAAATATGATTTGTTCAGTGACTGCTTGTCACTCCTAACTATAAGCAAGATAACTTTAATTGCTGCAGAGATTCTTAAGTAATGAAGTGATAGAGAATATTTAACCAAGATGAGTGCAACAAGATCTAGTGCATTTAGACTTGTGCAATTGCTTTGCTTGCTCATACATGTATATCATACAGCACATGCATAATCTATAGCTTGCTTAGGCTCACCCCAATGTTTTACATTCTTCTAGTAATTACTACTATATGATTGGCAACAAATAAGTTGGCTAGCAAGCAATATTTATTCATGTGCATTGGGTGTACAAATAAATTAAGTAGGTATAGAAGTTGGAATTAAAAGCAGCCAGGATGAGGGTCAAATGTATATCACAACTGTAACATCTAACTATATTATTAATCACAGTGTGGGACAGTAGTGAAACAGTTGTAACCTATTAATTAATGTTATACAATGGTGACAATAATCAAATAATAATTTCCTACTTTCAATAGTAAATATTTATAAAAGCTACTACAATGCAATTTTCACTTTGCTGTGTTTGTGTTGGATTTGTAGGTATGAAAGCTGGAATGTATTAATAGTAGTGCATGGGAGATCAGTTTCCTACATAAGTGGACTATTCAAACCAGCTATAACAGAAATACAATGAAGTCTGTGCTATTCTGTACTATTGTGCTAAATCTGCTAGTAATCAGTTCAGCCTCAGTACCTCCACAATCCTGTTCTAATGGGGATAGAATATCATCTTGCAAGGATATAAAAAAGTATTGGCCAAAAAGTTCTTCAAAGAACTACAATATTGAATATGAAGGAGAAATAAAGAATGTTTATGGTCTAGCAACAAGAAAGGAGCACAACAAAAGCGTGGCTGGGGCTGAGCCCCTTAATGTTTTACATTCTTCTAGTATGGAGGAGTTGTGTGGTTCAGGAGGAGGATGGACAAGATTAGCATGCATGAAAAAACAATAATGCCAAATAACAATGATTTCACAGTTCGATCAAGTGCATAACTACAAATTATAATATTTACAACTAAAATTAGAAACAGATGTTTATTTCAGATGAAAATTGCCGTTTGATTACTTTAAAGTGATTTTTAATTATGGGTACAAATAATGCTGTAGCTTCCTATATATGGACTATTCAAACCAGCT